CAACAGGGTTTCCTCTTAACTCATCTAAGGAAGCCTGTGAAGAACACTCCATATTTAACTCTCTTTTAGATCACTGTGGCTTGAGAATACTTTTAATCTCTTTTCCATTTATAACTGTACTGCTTGACCTTTTTGCAGCAAGGTGTCTTGTATATAAAATGTCAAAGAGAGGATTATAGACATGGGACAAAGATATAGTTTAATTAAAAAAAGTCCTGTGAGACTGAAAAAGGTTACTGGCCCAGATCACAAATATTTAATGCCAGATTACTATTTATGATGTTAAAATAACAAAAAAGGGTTTATGGGTAACTTGTAATTGACCAACCTTTACAGGTGCATATGATAATATTAAGCTTCAAGTAATAACTTTCATATTAGCTTGGAAATTAGTTTTAAAAATTTAAGAAATATCTCCTTAATGTTTTCTGTATGTTACAGAACTATCCTTACAAAACGAAATGGGTTAATGGTTTAAAGTCTGTTTCTAATTCAAAATGGTGCTGTAGGAGAGCATAGGATAAAGTGTGCGGTTTTGCAATTTATTTGCGTGTTCGTTAGTTTCTGTCTCTGACATTTAGGCATGGATAGGAGTATGGTTTTAATACTGAATGAATGGTTGAGAAAGACCAATCTAGATTTGTTGCTGATTTTTCCCCCAGAAAAAAATGAATACATTCCAAAGCTGAACGGTCCTACCAGGCTTCTCCACTTATGTTCACATTGTGGGACAACGTGATGGGAGAGTCATTTTTGCAGTTCAGAGACAAAGGGAAGGCCATGCACAAGTATTCCCTGAAAGAACCCAATTTACCAGTTAATTTATGAATCAAAATGAGCGTATGATGGCACTGACTGGATTTTGGCTTGAGACTGGGTGTTAACAGAACAATGATTCAGCAGTGGAGAAACAAGGAGATTTGAAGCCCAATTTTAAAAGAAGTAGAGCACCCACAGATCCCTCTGACTTTCACAGACAAACTCATGGAGACATCAGAGAAAAACTGGCACACCATTTATGCAACTATTTCAGTTAAAGTGTAGTAAATGCATTGCGTAGTGCTAGTTTGTACCTGTGATAGTTTGATTTTTATTTGTTAATATAACACCAATTTTGTGACTTTTGGTTAAAATCATTATGTAAAAGTTTGTAAAGAAACAAAGAGAGATAAAGTATAATATAGAATTTTATCAAGTCTAAATATTTTTAGGGGAAAGTGAGGAAAAGGGTAAGATGAAAAAACCCCTTCTCCTGCATAGCAACAGGAATCAGACTCTGCTGTAAATATCCCCAGCTGAGTTTGAATATGGGTAGAGATATATAGAATATTGTTAGAGAAAAATACTATCAGAATTCCCATGAGAAGCCCCATGTCACTATGGGGCACTCTGGAATTCCCAGGTACTGAATGGAGAAAAAATCCTGCTAATAGAAGCAGTGCTTAGTTGTGTCCTACTATGCCAGCCAGTACATTTCAATAGAGACAATAGTGTAGAAAGTGGGGGTAAAGACAAGACTGGCAATGAGGATGAGGATTTGGAGAGCAGATTGCCCAAAACATAATGAAAGTATTTACTTAAATAGTTAACACTCTTTTGATGAAGGGATCCAATAATTTCTATCTTATAGTTCTGAAGAGCTGATAAATGAAACAGCAGGTATTCTAAATAAACCTACATGGTTACTGCCTGGTTGGAGAGCAGCACGTACAGTATTTCAGACAAAAATAAAAAATTGAGTTGAATGCCTGAAGAAATTGTAGCCTGATCTTAAGGTTACACAAGACTACTAGAATAAATGGACAGATGTTAATAATTAAAGACATGCAAGTAAACAGAAAATGTAATATGATGCAATATGGATTTTCCAGAATCATCATGGTAGAAAAGCCTGATATCTTACTTTGATCAGATAATAGATTTTATAAAAAAAGGAAACGTGATGGATCTCATCTAAGAAGAGGTCATAAATTAAGCACTGTGTCATATAGAAGTTGTTAGATAAGATACAGAAGGTGGGCAGCAAGATGTTACTGTAGTTGTTTTGGGGTTTTATTTTTATAATGAAACTATGTTAGAAGGAAAAATTATATAAACACATAAGCCACAGTTGGCAATGGTCTACATAAAAGTTTTATGGAGACAAAACCCTATAGGGTTCTTTTAGAGATAATTATTCCAATATGCAAATTAAAATTGTGCATTATTCATTTTTTTGTCAAATAATTTTCATTTGCTTTGCTGCTCTTATAATAGAAATCTGCCAACAGGGTTTCCTCTTAACTCATCTAAGGAAGCCTGTGAAGAACACTCCATATTTAACTCTCTTTTAGATCACTGTGGCTTGAGAATACTTTTAATCTCTTTTCCATTTATAACTGTACTGCTTGACCTTTTTGCAGCAAGGTGTCTTGTATATAAAATGTCAAAGAGAGGATTATAGACATGGGACAAAGATATAGTTTAATTAAAAAAAGTCCTGTGAGACTGAAAAAGGTTACTGGCCCAGATCACAAATATTTAATGCCAGATTACTATTTATGATGTTAAAATAACAAAAAAGGGTTTATGGGTAACTTGTAATTGACCAACCTTTACAGGTGCATATGATAATATTAAGCTTCAAGTAATAACTTTCATATTAGCTTGGAAATTAGTTTTAAAAATTTAAGAAATATCTCCTTAATGTTTTCTGTATGTTACAGAACTATCCTTACAAAACGAAATGGGTTAATGGTTTAAAGTCTGTTTCTAATTCAAAATGGTGCTGTAGGAGAGCATAGGATAAAGTGTGCGGTTTTGCAATTTATTTGCGTGTTCGTTAGTTTCTGTCTCTGACATTTAGGCATGGATAGGAGTATGGTTTTAATACTGAATGAATGGTTGAGAAAGACCAATCTAGATTTGTTGCTGATTTTTCCCCCAGAAAAAATGAATACATTCCAAAGCTGAACGGTCCTACCAGGCTTCTCCACTTATGTTCACATTGTGGGACAACGTGATGGGAGAGTCATTTTTGCAGTTCAGAGACAAAGGGAAGGCCATGCACAAGTATTCCCTGAAAGAACCCAATTTACCAGTTAATTTATGAATCAAAATGAGCGTATGATGGCACTGACTGGATTTTGGCTTGAGACTGGGTGTTAACAGAACAATGATTCAGCAGTGGAGAAACAAGGAGATTTGAAGCCCAATTTTAAAAGAAGTAGAGCACCCACAGATCCCTCTGACTTTCACAGACAAACTCATGGAGACATCAGAGAAAAACTGGCACACCATTTATGCAACTATTTCAGTTAAAGTGTAGTAAATGCATTGCGTAGTGCTAGTTTGTACCTGTGATAGTTTGATTTTTATTTGTTAATATAACACCAATTTTGTGACTTTTGGTTAAAATCATTATGTAAAAGTTTGTAAAGAAACAAAGAGAGATAAATTATAATATAGAATTTTATCAAGTCTAAATATTTTTAGGGGAAAGTGAGGAAAAGGGTAAGATGAAAAAACCCCTTCTCCTGCATAGCAACAGGAATCAGACTCTGCTGTAAATATCCCCAGCTGAGTTTGAATATGGGTAGAGATATATAGAATATTGTTAGAGAAAAATACTATCAGAATTCCCATGAGAAGCCCCATGTCACTATGGGGCACTCTGGAATTCCCAGGTACTGAATGGAGAAAAAATCCTGCTAATAGAAGCAGTGCTTAGTTGTGTCCTACTATGCCAGCCAGTACATTTCAATAGAGACAATAGTGTAGAAAGTGGGGGTAAAGACAAGACTGGCAATGAGGATGAGGATTTGGAGAGCAGATTGCCCAAAACATAATGAAAGTATTTACTTAAATAGTTAACACTCTTTTGATGAAGGGATCCAATAATTTCTATCTTATAGTTCTGAAGAGCTGATAAATGAAACAGCAGGTATTCTAAATAAACCTACATGGTTACTGCCTGGTTGGAGAGCAGCACGTACAGTATTTCAGACAAAAATAAAAAATTGAGTTGAATGCCTGAAGAAATTGTAGCCTGATCTTAAGGTTACACAAGACTACTAGAATAAATGGACAGATGTTAATAATTAAAGACATGCAAGTAAACAGAAAATGTAATATGATGCAATATGGATTTTCCAGAATCATCATGGTAGAAAAGCCTGATATCTTACTTTGATCAGATAATAGATTTTATAAAAAAAGAAAACATGATGGATCTCATCTAAGAAGAGGTCATAAATTAAGCACTGTGTCATATAGAAGTTGTTAGATAAGATACAGAAGGTGGGCATTAGCACCAAAGCAGTAAAGCAGACAGGGAAATGGCTGGAATGTTCTTGGGTCGTTGTTAACACAGCACCGTGAAACGTGGGTTTGGAAAATGCTGCATTTGAGTTCCTCCAGGTTACACTGACAAGTTGTGATTAGTCTTCAACATAGAAAAATGGACTAGCATAAATAAAAAAATGAAATGACCCAATGTTTTCAAAGTAAATAATACAAGATATGAAGTAATTTGCTTGAGGATCAGTGACAGAAGTCCCTCCTTCATCCCACCTGGGACAGACTGCAGGCTGCACTTCTGCTTCTCAGGGCTCCCAGGCTGTTGGGTATCCTGGAGCAGAGACCTTCAGCATCTACCAGTGTTATAAGTGTCCACGTAAAATAGGTGTTAATTAGCACACAGACCTCAGCTGTGTTCCCAGACACTGTATTATCAAGTTACTGTCATTTCCGATGGGTCAATGAATATTGATTAAAAACAGCATTTGCTGCCGGGCAGTTTACACAGCTCCAGCCCTGCTTGTTGGCAGCAGGTTATTCCATTTTTACTGGCCTACCTCTCCCATGTGCCCTATGAACCTGGACCCTAATTGATCACTACAATGCAGGGCACATACAGGCTGGGCATTGCAACACTTGGTGCTGTGGCCCCTTTGTCCTTTTGAGGATCTAACCTCCAATGCCTGTACAGTGTATAAAGAAATAGACAAATCAGATGTTTATTTTATTACTACAGGTATCCAGATTTTCAATCAGTGTAGGTTGTTAGTGTTCAGCCAAAGGTTTGGACCTGAAAACAAATGCCATGTTGTTTTTATATTCAGAAATATTTGGTATGTTTGCAGTTTTTAATAAATATTTTGTGTAAGTAGAACTCACTGGTATAACTATTTACTTTTTTTGATCATAGAGCTATATTAAAACATGTAAACCCCTTCATTTTTAACAAGCATACAGCCTGGCCCTTCCCTCATCCCTCTCTACTCTTTCTTTCTCTTCTGAAAGAAAATGAAGTTTTCAAATGTGTTATGAAGAGAAATACATTTAGCATCACCAGCTACAGGGATCATGTGGGTTGTGTCAAATCCAGCCTATGCCACCAGATTTACACTTCAGATTTCTCACCTGTAGCATCATCACGATGTTACCATTTCCCATCCTGTGAGACATATGGGCTGATCCTGTAAACCTGGCAGGGACAGGACAGAACCTGGCAACAGACACCTCATGTTGACTTCAGTGTTTGCAGGCTCCAGCCTTTACTTTGTCTACTGATCTGACAGGGAATAACAGAAAGGACCATCGTGATCTGACATCATTATCCTTAGGCACAGTGTGTGTTCAGATTTTGCCAATTTCTCTTGAACTCCAATAGGACATACAGCAAGGGTTTTCCACAGTATATCTATCAGCAAAAATTTATTCCCAAATACATATATTTTTTCTAGAATGGGGTTTCTCAGACACAGGGCCATGACTCCTGTCTAGGTGTGCAGAGAATGACAATGATCTTCTCCTTCTGTACCCTCCTTTCCGATAGTCCTTTTCAGTTCTCACTGTGCTGGTTATGAATTTGAAAACATGGCTCTATAAATCACCTATAAACAGAATTTGCTGCGGTGATGCCCATTTGAATCAGCAGAGGGCCTGAAAAACTGGTCTTATGAGATGTACGTTGTTCATTCACTTCAGGAGGTGCCTTGAGCACTGTCCTCAAGTAGCAGCGACACTTAGTCAGGGTATATATACCCAGGGTATGGTTTCATGTTACAGCTAAACTAAATTAAGGGCTTGCTTCCAGTAAAAGCAGGAGGTGTCAGTCCCTCTCCCGCCTACTCTGTTCCTTCCTCCCCTTGCCTCTGCTCCCAGCTGCTTGATCTTTTCCTCCTTTGTGTCACTGATACTCATCTGATCACACGGTAAGCTGGGTCAATCTACTAACCTTGCAAAAAAATAAACGTTTTTTTGTTTGGTTGGTTTTTGTGCTAGATTTTTTTTCTGCAGTTTTAATGAATTAAAATGGCCTGTCATGCCATCCACTGAGCATTGGCTTGGCTGGTGGGAGCCCACAGCTGGGCTTCAGCCCACGGTGTGTGTGTGGGGAGAGCAGGGGTGCAGCGGAGGGCAGCGGGACCCCCACCAAGGCAGTGGGGAGCCAGTACCTCCGTTGCCACCACCCCCTAGTATGGTGCTGAAGGCAGAAGTTTTGTGGCAGACATCACGCTCAGCTCGGCTTTTGTTGTCCTCTCCCCTTGAGTTCCCCTTGAACTTGCTTGCTGATCCCTCCAGCTTTTCATTTCAAGAGAGGGTTGATTAGATGACAACTGGATATGCAGCATGTACATTTGAAAAGATGCACGAGGGAGGGTCATAAACACTCTGCCCTTCGTATTTTTCTGAGGTAGTCGTAACTGTATCCCAGACCTTGGAAGCCCTAGCATGCAACACAGTTAGAGACCCAGATGCCTCTAACTCCAGAGTGGGCAAGCACTCTGTGCAGTGCAAATTTTTGACCTGTGAATTTAAAAACTGAAAACATTTTCAGGCAGGTTCACATTTCCTGAGCAAAACTTATTTAAATTCTCACAGCTGATCTTAAACTGCAAGCAGACTCACTTAATTTGTTATGTGCCCAGTAGCTATTGACAAAGATATTACTCACTGTTCTTGTCTTTCTTTTTTCCAGAGAAATCTTCCTTATCTTCTTGTGTCTTTCACAAGTACTATTTTCCATAATCCATCAGATTTCATATTATCAGATTGTTTGAAGATGTATGCTCAGATTTCTTTGCTTGCTTAGCAGTATGTAAACACTGGAGACCTCAGTTAGATTTATATGACAAAGGAAGTGACAGGATCTCTTTGACGAAGCTAAGCAAGGAGTCTAAAGTATTAGACTTCTGGAGGATGTAGGTTGAAATTAGTGGTTAGGACCTGTCCTCCACTGGTGGCACAGTAGATACACAGGGTGATTTACCCCTATAGCCAGTGTGTAAACCCAGGGGGGATCCTGAGGGGCCCAAGGTAACTGCCCTGTTCAAAATCTAAAATTGTCTATCAAGGATTTTGCCCCAGATCTGAGAGCTGCTCCAATTGTTCTGCAGGATTACGTCACCTCATAGAAGATGTGGCTCAAAATGGTGACTCACTAGGTCCTTCTCCTTAGCAGAATTCTAGCTGATTATATGTACAAACATAATATATAAAAAATTAAATACAGATAGGATGTTATTAATAAATACAGAGAGGTTTGTGGAGTTACTTGCAAGTTTAATTGACCACTTGGAATGTGTAGGTATTTAAATAGATGATTTGGGAGTAGAGACAGTTATGGTCTTCTTGCTGAAGATGAGAATACAAATTGCCATGAGTTATCAGATCTACAGTTCTGGCAGTGGCATATCTTCTCTTACTTAGGTGGGAATTTTATCTCTATGCACTTTATTACTGACCATGTGAGAAAAACTGCATCATCTGCACATCACTAGACTTGGTGCTCCTGGGTACTATAGGTTTACTGACAGCACTATTGCAGATAAGCAGTAAAACGTCCAGAGTGCAGTATTACAGCATATTGCTTTTGCCATACATACTGTTACTGCCATACAGCTGCTACTGCTCCTTCAGATTAAACCATCCAACTGTTTGCCTGGCATCCTCTGCTACTGTGGCAGAAGTTTTCTAATACCATAAGCAATTGCTTGGTAAACAAACTGAAAACATATCTTGAAATGATTCTGTACTGTTTTCAAGTTATGTTTTGAAACCCATGTGATCAGCTGCTCTTCAGGGCCACTGAACACTCTTTTATGATGTAGCAATATGTTTTATAATATAAGGAAATATATTTTTAAATGTGAACAATTTATAGCACCACAAAACCAATTTATCATAACAATACTTACTCTCAGAAGGTTTAATTTTCTTTGAAATAAGCTTGAAAAACACCATTAGGAATCCCAAATCCTAGGTTGTGAAATTCCAGGAGCCATGGAAAATGTAGGAAAGGGTAAAGGAATGACTCTCCTTTTCTGGTATGCTCTCAGCCCACCAGATTGGTCTGCCTGTACAAAGGAGCTTAGAAAGGGTCAGATTTGGCCAGCTGGGAATCCCTGCTATACTGTCCATATGTTTTAACAGGTGGAAGGGTTGCTCAGTTCTTTGCTCTTCTGCTTGGAAGTGGGTGGTATTTGGAGGAGCCCAGGGGGTGCCCACTGGGCTGGACCAGTTCCAGCACTCTGAAGCTGCAACAGATAGGGTAAGACTGAGGCATTCACAAAGTCAATCTTTAACTCCTTTGCAGTGGGGAGAAATAGTTTCCTTCAGGGGGCATGGAGAGCAGTTAAACTAGGCTTCTGCTCTCAATTTCTTTCCAGTAACTCTGCTGGAAACTCAGGGAGATAGCTTAATTGGTCCTCTCTGATGCACTGGTATAAATAATAATAAAATTCATGCTCATTTGCTGTATAGTTTCAGATGAAATTTCTACCAAAATGCATAAAAATAATATTCACCATTGTAGTTCTATTTTCATGATTCATGCCCAATTCACTGAATAAAAGACATATGGAGGGGGAGAGGCAGAGAGAGAAATGGAAATCAAGTTAATACCGAGGAAATCATAGAATCATAGAATCATAGAATCACTGAGGTTGGAAAAGACCTCTAAGATCATCGAGTCCAACCGTCAACCCAGCACCACCATGCCCACTAAACCATGTCCCTAAGTGCCTCATCTACTCGTCTTTTAAATACTTCCAGGGATGGGGACTCCACCACTTCCCTGGGCAGCCTGTTCCAATGTTTCAATGTGTCAAGTAAATGTGTCAAGTAAACTCCTTGCAAACTCTTAAGGTCAACAACATGAAAAAGCACTCAGGAAACCTAACAAGCAAACAAGTAAAAATGACCTCGTAGTTATGAGAAGCCAGACAGGAGAATACGGCTTTGCGTTTGCCGTACTGCTGTTTGCATTTCCTGTGGCTTTAGTTTGCTGCACTTACTGATATGAGATTCTTGGAGCAAACAAGCAACATAAATTTGCACCTCCATCTATGACAAGCAACAACTGCCATGCAGAACTGAAGGGAGAGTTCACACCCTAAGCATCTGAGGACGGTATTTCCAGGGGAACCTTTCAGGACTCATCACCACTCCCCAGACTGAGAGGAAATTTCCTGTGGTTTTAGTTTGCTGCACTTACTAATATGAGATTCTTGGAGCAAACAAGCAACATAAATTTGCACCTCCATCTATGACAAGCAACAACTGCCATGCAGAACTGAAGGGAGAGTTCACACCCTAAGCATCTGAGGACGGTATTTCCAGGGGAACCTTTCAGGACTCATCACCACTCCCCAGACTGAGAGGAAATTACAGGCAAACATTCACTGGCAGGTGAATAGCAACAAGAAGCTTAATAAATGAGCGCTTCCTTAACCCAGGTATATTTAGGACTTCATGGTTATGTAAAGGACCTTTGCAACAAATCATAACACACTTTCAATATTTATAATATACCTATTGTATAACCAAGGAGCTTTAAGCTGTAGAACAATGCTGTTACAGTTTTAACAGGGTTATGAAGCCAATAAGATCCATTTTTAACTCATTAAAAATGGAATACATTACCTTTTTTAGCACATTTTCCATCAGCTTCAAAAGAAATTAAAAAATCTGTCAGAATTCTAAATTCCTGGTGATACAATTTTGCACATCTGTTTTGAAGGAAATTTCAAAATTTTGAAAGCTTTCATGCAAGACCTGACATATAGGAACTCTACCCAAAAAAGAAGAAAATAGTAAATTGTGTGTCTTTAGCGACATTGATTTCCTCCCCCCCTTGAAGAAAATACAGCAGCTGGCTGCCACAACAGTTACAGATCTGTCAGGATATGTAAACTGGGAACAACCAGAGAAAGAAAACAGTGACGAAAGGGATGCCTGCAATTTCTGAGCATTTGAGCTGCTTCTGTGTCTTCCTGGGCTTTTGGGCTCTTGCTGCACATTAAGACTTGAGAAGCTCTGGGATCCAGTTGTAGAGATGGTAAATGAGACTCCTTGGACACGTAGGAATATCATTGCTGTCTATGCAGCCCTTGCAACCCTTGGTCTCCTTAGGCAAAAGGCTCACTAGCTTTCTCTAGTCCTCAGTGACCTCCAAAACAAACTTCTAGGAAACAAGGCAGATTTTAGATGGAAAACCTGCCTGTATTTCAGAAGAGATTTACCCAAATATACATACTCCTATCTAACCATTTTTGTTTCAAAGCAATTTTCCGGGAAGAAGAAAAACCTGAAAGTACTAACCAGCTCTCTTCAGACCTGTGACACTGCAGTTAGTTGGACTCCACTGAAACAGTGACTGAGCAGTCAGGGATAAAAATAAAACCCTGGTTCACATTTCATTCATGCTCGCAGAGCAAGATTCAGGATATCTGGAGTAAGCAGTGTTTGACCACTTAAAGTCGCTCTTTTATGTTAATTTTTATGAACTACTCCACTGATAATTAATATGACTATTAAATGAATGTCAGAAGCTGCAGTTGTTTAGGTCTAGGCTAATATTCCTAAGTTATCAGTGTTTTGTGCCTATCAAGTTTTTTGTCCCTTTTAACCTCTAGGGAACAGGAAGAACTGTTCCAGTTCCAATAATATATGATTTTATCTGATTCCCAGGATCATTTTTAACAAGCTGCTCTACCATACCTAGTGTAGGGACTAAGTGTGTTTATTTTGTTGATATACTTTGCTGCTGGACTGTGATCAGGCGCTCATGCCAGTTTCATTAGATTTTTTGGCAGTTGTTTATGCAGATGATTATAAACTGCAGCTAATTCATTTGCAGGGTCTCGCAGCAGTGGCAGGAATTGATTTTTAGGGGCTTATTTTACTCCTACTGGGGGGACAGAAAACACAGTTGTACACCATTGCTCGTGCAGTTCAAGGATGTCCTGACAGGTCCTTTAGGGTTACTTTTTGCTATTGTCTCCTTCTCAACATATTTGGCCTGCAGGGAAAATTCAGGAACATTGTGAATTGATGATCCCTACGTATAACCATGTTATCAGACTAGCATTTATTTGAGTGTCCATGTTAGCAATGATGAAGAGGTACGTGTCTCTCTAGGCAAATGACTCTTGGCACTTCCAGCTCTGATTAAGCCAGTGGTGCAGGGGTTAATGCCCAGAGCTGTGGAAGGTGAGCTTAAGGTGCTCCCACCACGGTGTGTGTTAGAAAACTCAGAGACTCTGGGATTGATTACTCCTGCTCGCTCTTTTCAGACTGTCTCCTCCAGACTGCCTTTTCAGACAGACACCTTCTGAGCAGAGAAAGCTCAGGTTTTGCATCCATAACACCTAGTAACAGCATGGACTGAAGGGTTAGCTGAGTTGAAACTCTTAAGTGTGTATGATAAATAAATTCAAGAGTAGTTAGCAATTTTTTCCTGGGTAATACTCAGAGGAGATGTGGATAGATGGGATTCACATGCTACTAGCCTAAGCATTAACATGCCCACCATCCCAATGCAGACACCCAGAAAGTCAGACTGCCTCCTGGTCAGGCGGTCACCAGTCAGGCAAAAGAAGTCAGAATAGGCTGTTCCTTGATCTTTCTGAGGTCTCCAGGATTTCTACTGATTTCTAGCTCAGATCATGGTTTAAATCATGATGGTATTTTTCTCTTGAGCATTTGAATTACTAAGTGCTAGCATGTCAACAATTTCATTTCTATCAGTGTTTTTCTTATCTTTCACATCTTTCACAGCTTTGGCTTATGTCCTATCTCACAGATCAAATTTTTTTTCAGAACAGGTAAACCAATGTCACAGAGTTGTGCAGCATAAAAATGGATGGTGGTTCATAGACAACTACAGCACAGCGTGTTTCACCTCTGCTACCCAGCAGATATTTTCACTCCTGTTCAAGCAGCCTCCAGGTTGACCTTTTCTTCATGATGAAGAAGAGCGTTGCTGATGTTGATGTTCTTCAGGTCCATCCCATTCAGTCCTGGATGCCCATCTGGAGTCTTTAGGTAAGAAAGGCTAAGCAATGGTTGGTGTGGCCAACTTTAGGGACATAAGATTGAGGGTCAGATGAGGCACAGCAGGCACTGATGGCATGGTGGAGAGTACTGGAGAGCTTCTGCATGTACTGCCCTCAGGAGATGACCATACCATGTTCACGTGTTTCATGTTGTGTTCCTAGGCCAGAACTAGTGACTTTGCCTTCCTATCATGAAGGTGGGCAATTGCAACAGTCTGTTCTCCAGATGAATTCTAGAGACCACTTAAAAGATCCAACTCATCTAAAGCAGTTCTTGCTTTTTATGTGGGAATGGCTGGCATGAACACGCAGTCTCTGTGCCATGCATCTTTGTTTCGGCATAGTATTTAAAATCAAGTATCTTACTGACCACTTCTGTCAGCTCTTTTCTTTTGGGGAAGAAATAACTGAATATTTCTTATGGAAAGTCCTTGCCATGGGAATTGTCACCTCCTCTGTAGCTCAGATTTGTAGCTTAGATAAAAGTCACATTTACTTACTTTAGGTTTTCCTTAGCCTGGGCAAACAGCCAAAGAAGAAAGAAAGATAGCACTAGGGTGGTTTGGTTTGTGCCAGTTTTTGATAGTGGTTATTCTAGAGTCTTGATAACTGCAAAAGTCATAAATGGCGCAATGGTCAGTGTGATAATAAAAAAACAAAATTGAAAGCCTATTTTTAGAGACTGCTTGGAGTTCACTTCAGGACAAAAAAAAGCTGGAAATCACTCTACAGCAACAAATGTTATGTGATTGCACCCGTTACATAAAAGCTTTTAAGTGTAAATCTCTTTAAAGACTTTCCATATGGGGAAAATGTCAGCTGGGAGGACCTGGGTAAGTATCATGGACCCTGTGGAATGTAGTCATGGACTTTGTTTGGTGAGCTGGACAGCTTCCCAGCTATCAGCAATTCCACTGTGGCCCGAGACAAGAAATGAAAGACAGAAGTCTCTGTATTTGGTATAAGCCAAATGTAACCTGAACCATTGGAGCAATAAGGGGGTCTTTACAGGGGGGATTTCTGTGGCTCCCAGACAAATAACAGGCTTGAGATTCACCCAGAAGTTTTACCTCCGAGGTTCTCACCCTCCAGGTCAGCCAAGCTTTTTTAAATTGATCTGACAGATAGGCTTGAATATCTGCCTCTTCCAACAGCAGATGGGCAGTCAAAGGCTGTTGGGCAACCAGTCCTCTGGCAGCAAAGAAGGATATACAAATTCTGGCTCAGAAATTCTTAGATAAAGTATAGGCTTCAGTAATTAGCACTGAAGAGGCTGGAGGAACTAAAAGCCAGGACCATAATTCAGGCCAATTTTAAAGAGATGTCAGATCTCCAAAGAATCAATGATGTGTTTCATTTTTATTCCTTTTCACTGAAGTAATCTGCACATTTTGCACTGTGCCTGCATGCTCCCTTACTAGCATTTTGATATGGTAACCAGGTACAATTCTATCTGATGCTCAAATCTTCTTACCAATGGTCTCTAAGGACCTATGAAGAATGAGGTATTAGGATATAATATATGGGACATTTTTCATACTAAACACAGAAATCCTCCACTTTCAAGATGGGAAATAACACAGCTTAGAAAACAATTTTATATGCAGTACACACAAAGTTTTGGCTATCATAGATCAGCATATACCAGTGAAGCCAATGGAGCTACTCCAGTTAGCAGTCGTTAAGGAATGTATTGCTCTTAAATTGAATATTTATTTTTTAAGCATTACATGCATTTTACATCATGGTCCAGCAACCTGTGTATCTCCTGCCACTGATATGGCCCCATGTGCCATCTAGTGGAAAAGGTCAACCTTAAAAGATACTCTCAACCTGAGCTAGGAGGGTTTACCGTGGAAAATAAAAAGGAAAAAAAAAACTAAGGAAAAAGGGAGTCTTTCTATCTGAAGAGCAGCACATTGCCAAGTGCAGATATATGATAAGTCAGTGGAGAAGGATAATATTTGACAATTTGGAATTAATAGGAAAATTATTTCCAGTATAAATAAACACCTCTGATTCTTTAACTGCATAGAGAACAATACTGTCTGAGGGACAGAAGAACTTGTTATTCTGATTCTAGTGATTAGTCTTGATTCCATAAATGTAATTTGGAGAAGGACAAGGATGCAAAGATAAAAGATAGAAATAGAAAAGAAAAGTATGGGTGGAACTCAGAATTTGAATGATCTTGAAGGAAGTAGTAAAAGCAGTTCTTAGAAACAATGTCAATTTTCCTATTGTCTGAAATGCAAATGTAAAAGAAAGCAGTGAAATATAAATATAGCAAATTACGCTAACAATTATTTCATGTTTAAAAATAATTGGGTTTCATGTTTTTCATCTTTCTTCCATTTTGTTGTTTCTCTCCAACTAGTCTGCTCCAGAGATCTATTGTCTTTCTTTTTTTCTCATTGTTGTAGAATACAGCTCCTACATCTTCCTTCTTTCTTCAGAGTCTTTCCTCTCTTCTGGAGTTGCTTACAGCTGTTCTTCCCGATCTGCTCTCCCTGTCTTAGTCTCACTTTTTATAGTTTAGAGTAAGACTGTGACTGCAGAACTAGTTTAACTGTATCACCTACCAAGTAATTCCTACAGAAATCATCTTCAGAGACACTTTTCTGAACCAACTTTCTCTCGACACTTAAGTTGTAGCAGCAGTTCATACTGTACTAGAAACACGTGGGATACTAGTAAGTACAGGCAAGTCAGGTAAGTCCTCTCCACGGAGCCAGGACATTGCAGCAGTGCCCTTAGCATCGCGCGCTGGGAGGAAAGTTTTACCTCCAGCTAAAGCTTTTGTTCTGAGACCAGGCAGGCAAAAATTTGTTGCTGCTTAAAGCAGAGTGAACTAAGATCCCCCACGAATGAAATGTGTCAAAGTTCAGCACGTTCTCTATGCCCTTGCGTGCTTGGGTCTTAGATATAAGCTATTGGCACAGAGGAATATGTTTGTGGAGGTAGTGGAATTTCCCCATAAATGATACATATTTTTCCCCTCCTACTTAACAGTCTCAAGCCATTTGAATGATTCAGAGAAAAAAAGAGAAAAAAGGACTAAGAAACCAAATGTGGGCCCTGATTCTGTTCCCACTTTTAACACGCGTGTGTATTCACTACATGTGTTACTGCTGCAACTTCAGTAGAAAGGTCTGTTTCATTACTTTTAACATGCTACAAAAGTTGACCTGGAGAATGTAGGTAAAGACAGGAAAAAGTGATTGTTAGCAAATTCTATCTTAGCAAACATATAGAGAATTTTGTGAGATAAAGGATGTGTACTCCCCAGTCTAACAGCATATCCCTGTCAAGTAAGTCTCAGCATCACTGACAGCCTCAGAGGCGTGGGAACGTCTCAAAGAAAATATTCCCCAAAATCTTTCACAGTGGAAAGTGTCAGCTGAAAGACGGGACTTGCTGACTTCCCTCCTCTTGTTTCTCTCTTAATAGATCTCTTCTCCAGTTAGATGAAGACATATCTATATGTCTTCATACACTAGCATCAAACAGACATTTGCAGAACAACCTAGTATTACCGTTCTTAGCCTTCTGATCCAAGACAGGAGTTTAATCAGCAAAGAATATCATAATATGAATTATTTTTTCTGGAAGAAATAACACTACTGGAAAGTGTAGAATTTAAATTATTCTAATTGCTTTGCTGAAGCAGTTCTATATATTCTCTGGCCCTGCCACTCACTGCTTTAAAGGCACAGTTCTCTAATGAGTGTACTTCAAATATGTGAAATGTGTATAGATACTGCAAACATAATCCTGAGCTGTGGAGATTCAGTGAGTATCTGTATGCTGGTATCCACTAGAAGAGCTGAATGATGAGGAAGGGGGACTATGCAGTTAACTTCTCCAAGAGCATGTAGCACATTAGCTGGTGCTAATCAGGGAGCTAGACCTTCCTTCTTGCTCTCAATAAACTGTTCATGAGTATGTTTTCCACTTGTGTATATATAGATATCTCGCACTTGTAGAGCTTTTCCAGGTTATTCCAAAAGTGCGTTCCCAAGAAAACATGCCCATAAAATACGGTGTATTCCTTTCCCCTTATAAAATATTGGTACGTCATGCTAATTTCTAATCCTAAAATCAGGGAAAACATAATACTAGAACTGCCAATTCTCATGAAAATGGGAAAGATGCTAGCCCACCCTGGGACCAAGAAAAAACATGACATAAATCAGAAATATAACTAGATTAATTTAGGGTAGAGTAATTAAAAGATAAAGTGCATGAATATTAAGTTATAAAATTATTGGCATGAATTTATTAAAACACACTTCAGCAGTCAGAGCAGAATAAAAGCTAATTTGCAACTGGTTGTAATGGGCTTGGAATCAGCTTTAGTATTAGAAGAAAGTTCAAATACAGTGGGAAGGAAATGTAATACAATAAAGCAGTGACTCAGGGGGCTGATTGGGATAATGAAATGCATTTCAATGAATTCTGATGGGCAAAGTATTATTACAGCAGAGCTTCTAAACAAGAGAGGAATAGATGAAATTTGCAACAATGATACTATACTGTCACAGTGACTTTTATTGCTATAGAAATTATTTCGAAGTGTGAAAGGTACTGTACTTCGTGTTCTAATAACGAATTTAAAGTAACTATCTCTATTTTACTGAGCTTTGTTGTTTATCAGCATCCAAAGTATAGACTCTGTGTCTACTCCTTGACAGAACTGCTAATGCTCTATTCATCTTGTCAGCTGTGAGTCTCCTCTGCATGCTAAGACCTCAGAGCAGACATTCTGCACATCTATTAATATGAAATCCAGGGAGGCTGTGGAAGTTTGCTTTTTTGCCTGCTCTGTGGGGGCCTCCTGTGGCCTGAATTAGATGGCTCCTTCTCGTACGGCAAGGCAAAAATAACTCTTGACTTACAATTTGTGAAAACACCATGGCTAATGCCAAGATCAGTGGTTTGCTCCTTGTGTGTTTTGAAACATTGCAAGTCACATTTTATGAACTTCTTATTTACGTATTATTCGCTTTATGCGAATATATGCTTTCTTGTTGAAATGTTCATCATTTTATAACCCCAAAGTTGACTTGCCTCAAAATAGTAATTAAAAACTCCAGATTTTAAACTTGTACAACTTTTTGATAGATTACTTCATCAAACTTCATCAACTGTGTAATCAAAACTTATTAGGAACTGAGGAACATGGAGCAATTATGTAATTTCTTTATTTTCCCAATGCTGCGTTGATAATGTTACAACATTCCCTTTATCTTAGATACTTTTAATTTGAAAGGAAAACTGTGAATCTTTTCAGTTTTTGGAATATTGGTTAATAATGGCTGTGAATGGTGCTGAAGAAAAGAGGGTAGGTGAGAAGACGATATGTAATGTATCCTTTAAATATATTTGAGATAGCGCTAAAATAATTTTGCATCTAATAAGGCGTAAGATTTCGTCAATGGCTTAATTAATAGCAAACAGTATCTCTTTTCCCACCATCTTTTTTTCTCCTTAGACTGTATGTTCTAGATGGGATTATGCATGTCTCTTACAGGGTTATGCTTTGTTAGCACACAATATGTTTCAGGCATTACCACAGTATAAGGATATGTTTCCATATTACTATCCTGGCTGAAACAGATCTGATTTAAGATGTGTCTTTGCCAGTTTCCCACTCACCGGCAATTATTTCTGGTTGTTCTCCAAGAGGTTATGACACACACACACACACACCTTATTTGTGCCAATTACACTGCTTGTGTGATCTGGGAAATTATATAATTTTCAAAAAAATACAGCCTTTTACTATTTTTTGAAAAAGATGCATGCATAGATCTGGTGCATGATGCAGTCACACTGTTGAAGGGGCACAACCAAGGACTAGTGATGTCTTGCAGGAGATGAGGAATGAGCACCTCAAAGGTGAGGGGGAAACTCTTAAATCACATCTGTTGCCGAAAGTGAGTTCTCACTCATTAGTCCTAGCCTGTTTGCAGTTCATAAATGTGTGTCTTTCATAGGTTATTAAATATCTTGCCCCACAACATGATTAATAACACCTAATGACAGCTCATATTTTACCTGGGCAACCTGTGAAACATGCTGAGTTCATGCCCTCTGTAGGATATTTTCATCATATGTCTCCTTATTCTTTCTCACATCTGTTCAGGGCATATAATAGACAGGGAACATGAGCACTGGAGAAAGAGCACATGAACTTCACAGCAGGGACCATTCCAACTGCCAACAAAATAAATCATATTACAGGAGGTAAACGTGAAGCCAATGAAAATACCACTTGGGATGCTACTATGAGTAAAGAGCTGTTTGCATGCATCCTGTTCACAGGTATTTCCATGTTGGGCAACCACATCGAGGGAAAAACAAGCAGCATAATAACAGATGTGACAGACCACAAAATGCTACATGCTATATCAAACTAGCCCAGAGCCCATAACTGAGGTTAGTCAATAATAGGCAGTGCCTTCCCCATGTGGAGTGAAGAAGACGATGAAAAAAAAACCCATCTTGTTCCTGCCCAAGAAATATCATTCGTATTGTGTGTGGATGTGTGAGAGCAAGGGTCATCCATTTCTCAGCTACAATCAGCCTTTGGAAAGTAGCAGACACACAGCAGGTAGCAGGTTTCAGCAATCACCATGCATCATGTGGGACTGGCTGTCAGTGGAGCGCAGGAAAGCAGAAGAAACAAGCATACAGGAGGGTCAGTTTGCTGCCTCACTGTCTTTAGTTTCCCTCTCCCACCCCCAAAGCCTTCTGTCCTGCCTGTTCAAGCACTACACAGTGAATGTGCAAGAGCAAACCAGTGCAGTTCAAACGAATTCAATAAACACAACTGGCCTAACAAATGGTGGATGTTGAGCAATCTAACAGTCCTCTAAGGCAAAGCTTCACAACCAAAATAGGCTTTTGTCTTGTACATGTACTTGATATATATTCTAAGCAAGTAGGAGCTTGCTGTGTATTGGAAGGCAGTGTCTCTAGTGCTCACAAAAGCAGAATTGTCTGGATTCAGTCTTTCATCTGTGATAAACAGGTCTGCATTATGTACTGTGCTCTGGGTTAATATATTTCTCTACGCTAACTGGAGAGGAGCGATAGTTGTGAATGCAGACTACCAATAACTCAGATAAAGCAGTTCTGCAGACGTACAGATGGAGAAGTCACAGCAAGAAGCTCCACTGATATTACCTTAGTGCCCACCGGTGCCAACCATGGGCCGGGGACCCCCTCTGCCAGAAGTCATCCCAGCTAGTGTTGGGTAACACCAGTTGCATAATACTGCTGTGTATTTGTCTCTATACACTCTCCAGTAGTATACGGACAGGGGCCAAAGGGATTTTAAGGGGGCTAATGTGGGGATCTCTCCTCTCACTAACTCCTCCACAATGTAGGATGTCACGATCTCTCCCTAGCAATCTCCCCATGGGAGATCTGCCTCTTCACACCTCCCTGCCTTGTTCTTTACCCTGTGGGACTCCATGATGCCCCTTTACCCCACATCTGATCCAGCATTTACTGAAGAAAAGTTTCACCAGAGGTGGAACCTAATCTTTGTTCCTCCCCGCTCTTTTCCCATTATTAGAGATGCCCTCTAGATACCATCACCTCACTCTAAGACGAGGAATAGGGAGTAGAAGATGTAGGAGCATGAGAGAGTTAGGTGAAGAGGGCCAGAGCAGTCCACAGAGTGTTGCGGATACGGTAGTGCTATTGGCACCTTTAATTTCAGTATTGTCGGTGTCACTGTCATTTAGAGCTGCAGCAATACCATAATAACAGTATATTGCCTGTCATTAGTACAAACAGGGCAAAAACCAGCTTTGCAATACAAAACCTAAGTTTGGGTTATGAGTAACACTCCACACTAAGTAACACTCCACAGCCATAGAGACATGTGGTCTGTTCCTTATAAATTAAGTTGTACTTTATGTAAGATTCACGCTTGATTCTTTCTAAGAACCCACAGAGGTAGAGCCTTTCCAATACGAAGGAAATGCATTCTGTCAACAGAGAGAGATGTAAACTAGGGGAAATTTTTTTAATAGTTGAGTTACTAAAAGCATTCAGCATCACCTATCCTATGGACGCTTGGGGAAACACTTCTAAAACTTTTAGAGCACCCTGTAAGTTCATCTTTTTCTCAGGCCGTGAAGAAGAGCCCTCTTGCCCGACTACTGCTAAATCCTGGCAGGCTTAAACTGCAGCTGAATGTCTGTCGCTGTGAAAGAGCGTGGAGTTCCTACGAGTCACCGGATTCTCAAGGTACTTAACCCGCAGCCCCTGCCGGCGCCCGGCTGTCGGAGGAGCCCGTTTGCAGGCGCCGTCGGTGCGGCTCCGC